TTGAACAGGGCCCTTGGAGTGGTACATGACAAACCTGGGGTGTCTGTGGGGTGTGAATGCTGAGAAACAGTACCTTGTTTAGGAGGCAGATACACAAACAGAGCACAAGGAATAAAGCAAAGCATCCAGCTCATTCATTTGCCAGCTGGGGAAAGGGCACCAGAATGACAGGTCTTTGGACACATCTGTCTCAGAAAAGCAAATTCCACCTCACAGTCAGTCCCCAGCCCTTCACACTGTGCACTGCCTGTGTCGCAGGAGATGGGAGATGCTGGCTGTCACCCTGCAGGGATGTAGGCAAGCCCCACTGCGGGTACCCGAGCAGGGCAGGGAGCATGATGCAGCCCAGGCTTGGTTCCAGGAACTGTGTTAGCAGGGCTCTAGTCCATGCATTAGTCTCCTCCTAGGACTACGCAGTATTTAGATACTGCGGCGCTTTTACGGGGTCACACTAACCCCTGCTGTAAACTGTTTACAACCCAGCTTTGTCCTAGGCTTTTAAGGTAAAGCACATACACCTCAGCTGCACTGGCGGGGTTTCCGAAAGCTGATCAAGTGCCAATGATGGGATGCAACCACAGCAGAGACAGAGGAGGAGCCAGATGCAGAGTCTAATTCCAGTAGGAACTGCAGCATCCTTGCTCCTCTCCTAGGCTGCAAAGGGCTCACAGGAGCAAACAATCACCTCCACAGATTCCTCCGCAGAAGCAGCTGAATAAGATTGTCTCCTTAAGCTCTTAACCAGCCTTGAATAAGTCCAGCATAGCAAACAAGCAGATAAAAAAGCTGGGGAAAGAGAAATGTGTCTCAGAACAGTGTCACTAGGAGAAGAGCAGGCACTGATATAAATGCTATCGTCATCTGCCCGCTGCAGTCTGATGGAATGAGGCAAAAGACTTGCCCTACTTCACTGCAAACAAGGTTTCCGTCCATCACCAGGAGCCTTCTTCATTGCTCAGGCTCCAGCACTGGAGACTGGTAAGCAAATCTGCTATTGCAGGTGCACTGAAACATCTCTGCAGTGCTAGGGGGCAAGGCTGGCCATAGCTTAGCTGAATCTGTTTTGGGATCCCAACCAGCTCCCTTCTCTGTGCTTCAGTTCACTTTGTGGAATGCATGGGGTAACACCTAGCAGGCGCTGACTGAGACACATCTCGGGAAAGGCAAGGGGTAGGCTGCTGCCTGGGCCTCCCCTCCCAGTTGTATGGCACTGGCCTCTGACACTGCCCCTGAAGTGAACAGAGATGGAGGCCCACGCCTGCAGTTGCTGCTCGGGATGCATGGAGACGGATGAAGGGGATGGAAGGGATGACTCACAACCAGACGTGAAGCAAAAGGAGACACCCACAAAGCACAGGGCAGAGGCACTGTTTGCACTAAGCTCCTTTGAGATCTAGGGGATCCTCTTTTAAAAAAAACAGCCTCAAGGGGACAAACATGCCCAGCACCTCAGTGGCCAAGCACATGAGGCAAAATCCCTTAATCACCCCTGCAACCTTGACCCTGTAACCTTGACCCTGAAACAAGAATTAAAACCCTTCAAGTTCTTCAAGCTACTCCCAGTAACAGCCTGGCCCTGGCCCCATCCACTGTCCCCTTTTTTAACAAGTGTTTCCATGTCATTACCTCCCATGCCTCTCACCTGCCTCTCTCTGCAGATATCTCTGTGAAATCTCCGATTCACCTCCAGAAAGCGAAACCTTCATATTTCAAATCAGCCTGGGGTTGAGAGGGTTAGGTGTCTTCTAGAGACAGCCCTCTAGAGGGCTGAACAAACAATCCAAAAAGCCCCAGAGCAGCAGCCTGAAGGCCCAGGTAGCTCCCGACTGCCAGGTGGTGGCAGCAGCTTGCAGGGGACTCCAGAGGGACTCCTGAGGATCAGTTTCCATGGCTCTTCCCCAGGATTCACTTACATCATGCAAGAAATTAATAAGCCTTGATTCCTTTGACCTCAAATCCCCAGAAAAAGGGATGTAGGGAGGATCCAGTCATTTCTAGGAATTACCAAAGGCTCTGGACAAACATTGGCAACTCCTGGCCAGGATGGTCCCAGCAAATACCCACAACACACACCCATGCCTACAGCCCAGGTTCAGGAACCACCTGCCTACAAGAAAGAAGTGGCTCAGACCCAGGCTGGCAGTGTTGCCAGCTGCAGAGGACATTGGAAGGCTGAGCATTGACAAGCCAGGGAATCCTGCTGGCAGTCAGCTCCCACAGCCATACCAAGCTCTCCATTTTACACAGGACCTTGGAGGAGGATTGGTTCCTTCCATCAGATCCCACCTGAGCAGCAGGACAAGGGCATGTTTTTGTTTCTTCCCAGGCTGAAGAGCTTGTCCCTTGGCTTCTCCTACCCTCCAAGTATGTACTGATGAGTGAAATTCAGTTCGCCACCACTAAGTATGGGCGTAGGGATGTGACGCCAAGATGGAACAAGGGCTCAGTCAGCTCTGGTTAGTAGCTCTTGCTACTTGCCTTGCTGGGACAAGATGAGAAGCACCTGTAGCCCTGCCTGGCTCCTAGACATAATGAGATATCAAGATGAGACACCTTCAAACAGGACACGGCAAGTTTCCCATTTTTCCAGACATCTCCTCTGGCTTCCCACTCACTCTGGCCAATAGACCCTGACATGTGGGACTGAGCCACACTGCAGGGACACTCGGCAATGTTGGTTCTGATACAAATGAGGACATTGCACAGCCATATGGCGTTACATAGGCACTAGAGGGGAGGAGGAACATTCTCCCCTCCTGGTAGTTCTGAAGACAAGAAGATTGCACTAGGTCAGTCCATGAATCCAAGCTTGCCACTGAAGTCTCTCCTCATGGCATCAGATGAGACACCAGCAAGCATGGCACCATCATGAGAGGCTGCAGCTTCCCTCTCCTCCATCAGCTGCTTCATGCAAGTCTGTGATAGGTTCTGGCCACAAGAAGCATGACCTTAGCCTAAACAGAGCAGATCATGGAATACAGTCTTTTTGCCTGCTGCCATGGAGTATTATACTGACACCCTTTTTGGCAGCCACCACAGAGTAACTGAAGCCTGGACAATCTTATAATCCCTGCAAACCAGGGGTCACTGTAGGTGAGGGAAACTCATCTGGGCACTGCCCCTACTACACTTCTTTCACTCAAACTGGCTCTTGCTCTGGCATCTCTGAAAAGTGTGCCGTCTTGAAAGTAGAAGCAGCACTGCCAGAGCAGCAGCAGCAGTAAGAGATCACACCACAGGGTACAAGCACGTCCTCATGCTAAAAAAGCGCCTCACAGTTTAGCTACCCTTGTCAGGATCTGTTTGAAGAACTGGGCTCAGATCACCAGGAGTTGTTGAATGCAGGCAGGAAGAGAGGGACACAGAGTATACAGCATTTGTATAACTTCCCAGTCCTTGGACTTCAGCATTCCTCTCCTGCAATTATTTATATCTAAATATAAGTCTGTATATATAGAATAACCGTGCATGGGCATGCATGTTCTGCCCAGCCAAGAAGGCAGAGAATACCAGGATTATGCAGTACTCACAAACTGCAGCTCCTCATCAGTAGAAGGGGAAGTGATGCACCAGCTTCTGAGTACCCCCCCCCAGGCTGCCCTTTGAGCTGTGGTTTCACCAGACAGGGCAGCCCACCACATCAGGAGCATGTTGCCCTTCCTACACTACCTAGTTGCCCTCCATGGCTCAGTAGCCCCATGGCATAAAGTGAGTCCCACCAGTCAGTGCAGTTACCTTCTCTCTTCTTGGGAAGCCCAAGCTGCAAGCAGGATCTGTAGAGGCAGACAGAAGGGCTGGCACTCCTGCCTCTCATCAGTGCTCCCAAGGCACAGGGCACCCTGCTCTTGACCCTTTCTGGCATCTGCTGCCTGGACTCCAGAAAAGTCATCTGCTGAGGAAGACTGCAGCACACCTGGAGGCAAGGCTGTGCTGGTACCTGACCTGTCCCAGTCTGCACCTTTCACTTCTCTAGCTGGGACCAGACACCAGCAACAGCCCCTGGCTTTGCCATGTCCCCAAGCCCTCTTCTACCCTGCTGCCCACTGCGTCTTGCCTCACAGTGACCCAGGCAGCTGTGTCACATCCTGGATGCCCTCAGAAGCCAGCGCACAGCAAGGAGGGAGGTCTCCACGTCCACTTCTCCCAGGCATAACAAGCTCTGCCCGCGGCAGTAAGCCCAAACGGGGCCCCGCGCTTCTCGTTTGTGATTTTTTTCCCTTCCTCCTCCATCCCGGCCACGCCAGCTCCGGCCCCCGCTCCGGACGGCGCTGGCTGCAGTTTCTGTTCCAGCCCTGGAAGCTCCGCAGCGATCCCCAGGTGACTGGCGAGCGATGGAGAAGAGGTGCGCTGGGGCAGCCCATCGGCGGCGCGGACCGACGGCTGGGTATCCTCGCCCCCCAGCCCCCAACCCCCCCCGCCCCGCCGGCCCGCAGCGCATCCCCGGGGCCGGAGTGGGGCGAGAGGGGCTCCCAGCCAGCGGGTTCGTACCTGTGCGGGCAAAGCCCGGCCCAGCCCGCGGCTGGGCGGTCAGCGAACGCGCCATGCAAAGCGGGCGGGGAGGGATGGTGCTAGGGGGCAGCCCCGGGCCGGGGGCGGCCGCTCTCCTCACCTCCTCTCTGGCCCCCTCCGCCTCCTCCTCCGGAGGCACCGGCGTGCTGCTGCCTCCCTCGCTGGCGGCGGACGCCGAGGCCGGGGGGGACATGGCGGCGGGGGCGCCCCGCTGGCGGTGCCTGCGAGCTGGGCAGCTGCATTATCCTGCCCGCCGCCGGGCGCTGCCTCGCCGGGCGCCGGGCGGGCGGCGCGGCGGCGCGGCGGGCGGGCGGCGCGGCGGCATCGCCCCCAGCCGCGGCTCGGCGGCAGCGCTGGCCGCCCGCCGGCCCCGGCCCCGGCCCCGCCGCAGCGCAGCGCCGCTACACGCGGCGGAGGGCGGGCAGAGCCGCGGTGGGAGGGCTGCGGCGGGGGCGGGGGGAACGGCACGGGGATGGGGATGGGGATGGGGATGGGGATGGGGGCACGGCGGGATCCGCGGCCGCCCGAGCGGAACGGTGGATGACCTTGAGGCGCCGGCCAGCAGTAGAGAGGGAGGCAGAAGCCCCTCCCGAGCCCCACAGGAGCGGATCTGCCGCCCGGCGCTGCCGGGGAAAGCTCCTGCTCTCAGCCGCGCCGAGGGGTCTTCAGGCTGGCTTCGGTCCCAGCTGGACAGCTGATGGAGAGGTGAGGGGTCCCGTGGGTTTTCCTTCCCTCGGGATGAAGCGGGAGAACCGGGAGCACTTCGCATGCGCCCCGTCTGCTTTTCTAATCTGTGGGCACCTCATCTGGTCGGGGGAAGTGGGGCAGTGGTGACCGTCAGTGCTGATCCTGGCATTCACGGAAATCCTTAGGCTGGGCAGGATCTTCCCTATTGTGATCTGCACCGGGCCCAAAGATTCTCACCTAGCTATTGCAGAGACAGCTGCAGCTTATTTCTCAGCAGGGAAATGCTTGATTACAGGGATGTGTGGAAAAGCCTCTTTGGACCCTCAACCTAAACTGACAGGGGGGACGCACATAGAGTTTGGGAAGGGTCTGTACTTGTCAGGGTCTGGATATTGCAGGTACAGCCCAGCTTCCCTGATAGTCAGGAAATCAGGTGTCTCTGTAGGTGCTTCCCCAGATCCGTACTGGGGAGAAGCATAAGCTACAGAATTTGCTGGAAACTTCTCTTTTTCTGAACTCTGAGGCTCAGCCTTGGCTATGGGATGATTGGCATGCACTTGTCCACTGTTGCCTGGGATGAGGAAGGAACAGCATGTAGGCCTGATGGTCTCACTCAAGGAGATGCATCCAAGGGGAATTGCCAAACCCTGCTTCTTATGGGAATAGATGTGATGGCTGGGGGTGCTGCTAAAGGAGCTCATCTTCAAAAGAGGCTGGGGATGTGTTTCCTCTTGCCTTTCCCCTGTTTCCATGGGAACAGCAGCAAACAGGAGCAGCCTGCTTGGAATTTCGCTGCCTACCACTCAGACACCCCCTGCCCAGTCAACCTGTCAGACTTTGGCTCTTGAGAGTTTCAGACTCACCCTCATATGATGGATCCCATGTGTCCAAGGAAAACTCACACATGGATGTGTGTCATGGCAGAGCAAGGCAAAGAGAAACAAGCCCAGAGCTGCCACAGTTTCCTGTAGCAGCATGTTATTCCATGCACACTAATAGACAGTTGAAAATAATTTGCATTCCTATATGCATTTCTGCTTTTTATCAAATGTGACCTCAGCTAGACTAAAAAGTGCCTGGGGGATTGCCCTCCAGGAAGAGCACTTGTTTTATCTCAAAAATGTGAATATCATACAAAAAGACCAAAGCAGAAGGGTGAATAGGGGGGAAAGGTGGTACGGGTTTACGTCTTTGCATTTAATAGCCCATGGTGTTCTTTTTCTCTAAGGAATTTGTCCATTTACTTTTGAATTCGTTTTAATTTTGGACTTGTCGGTGTTTCATGCATTCTGTGGCAAGGAGTTTCACAGCACACCCACAGACTCAAGGAGCTTCCTTTGATGTGCCCATTTATCCACTAGGACCAGCCCTTGGGAAGCAGGCTGCTGCCATCCTTATGGAGCTACCCTCAGTGCAATTTATTGTCCACTGGTGGAGCCAGTGGCTACTGGTGAGCTAGAGGTAGAGTTTTTTGTGTCAGGCATCCTTGATACTGGTCCTGGCAGCATATTTTGGAGACAACACGGTCAAGCACATCAACAGCTATGCTATTTTTGAGATGAGGTGGCACAAAAGAGGTTATGTGCCCTGCTTTGTCTGAACTGAAGTTGTGTATGTTCTCAGTCACTTCCTGAGGAAAACAGATATGTGGCAGATTTCAAGCCTTGGGCAGGTACCCAAAGGCATGGCTGATAATGTGTAACAAAGGACTCTCAGGAATGGGAGAAAGAAGACTATATATGATGCTTAGGCCTTTCAGAAACTAAAGCAGGATGGACAGCATCCAAGATTGTGTTCTGTGTCATCATCAGAAGGAGGACCCAGAAGTTGTAATTACAATACACTGCCTGATCCACTCAATACTTCTTTTCTTGGGGGCAAGAGACAAAAATTTGTGAGATTTCCCCCCAGTTTTTCCTGTAGGTTTCAGGATGTTCTAGTGGAAAATCATGTTGGAGAGCAGGATATTTCTGGGATGGATGCCTTTCTGATATGACAAAATGGAGGGAGGCTTTTAAGACACAGCAACTGAAGTAGAGGTGGTGCCCTTACCAATAGGTTTGTTCTTCAGAAACCCTGTACCTGCCACCCTGCAGAGACATTCATATCTGTTCCAAGCAAGCATAAAGCATGACATCATATTAGCAGGATTCATTCACTTTCCATAATGCATCAAACCACAAAAGGTCTCACTCTTCTGTCTCCAGTAGTTACAGAAAATTGCCTTTTAGTTCCTGCTTAAATATTAGTTCCTACCCATGAAGCAAATTTGCATTCAATTTCTAAAAAAAATTTGATGGAGGCTGCATTTTAAACCAGATGGCTGCCATAGATAACCTATCCTTGTGCTGGTATTTGTAGCCTAAATATAAAAATGGATTTGACAGCATCATATAGATATATATATCGTTTTGTTTAGCTTTATTTTTTCATTAGACCAAGTGTGATCAAGACTCAGTCTTTTGTTCCAAAGCAATCAGTGATTCCTAGTGGGGTGATGATTTTTGTCTCTTAAGAAGATGCGTGGCAGAGAATCCCCTTGTGTTAGGATGCAGGATTTTCTATGCTCAGAAATTAATGCCTATTCAATTTAGAAATTTCAAGGATACTTTGTGCTGGCTGCCTGAGCCTTCCAGAATGTGTCACTCCAATTAAATTACTCCTTATTAATGCAACAAGGGGAGTGTGGGTGAAGGAATGCACCTCTTGCTCCAGCTAAACAACATCCATTTGCCACTGCTGGTCAGTGGTGTTGACTGTCTGGGTGCCATCTACCTCTGAAAGCTTCGTCCTCAAGGAAATATGTGCCATTAGTTGTGTTCTCATCTGCTGCACTCAGACTTCATGTCTCCTGGGAGGAGATTCAGGTGTACTTTTTTTATTGTGGGAAGGAAACCCCCAGGTGACTGGGGAGCTCATTTCTGTTTAGCATCGCTAACAGGGGTATGCATCATGACTGCAGACCCCAAACACTCCAAATCTTGAACCTCATAAAGTAGATGGGTTTGTAGCTGCTGCTCTGGGGCACATTTGACTGAATAGAATTGCTGGCATTGAAAAGTCTTTGATCCCCATTCTGATCCATTCTTTTCCAACAGGCTGGCTGTATACAGTTTGGTTTGTTTTCCATCCAGCCTCATGAGAGTCTATTTTGTCATCATCACAGCTTTTGTGAGGCTCCACAGAGATTTCTGGGTCAGGTTAAATCACTTTCCTCTCTGCAGTAGCCCAGCAGGATACCCAGGGCCCTCCCTCACATCCCCCCTAGAAATGAGAAGTGGATTCAGCACTGCCCAGATGCTGTTTGACAGTCCTCAGGACATTTTGTCCAATATAAGTCCAGAGCAACGGCAACTGCCTCAAGTGCCTGGAAACTGAGCCAAATCCTCCCTTGCCAAATGCTTTGTTCTCACTTAAATTTTTGCCCCATCACCCCCAGAAATGAATAAACCACAGAAACTAATGTTTCAGGGAATTTAGTCTGTCTCTAGTTACGCTCCCAAGAGCCACCTCCCTAAAAGCAGAAAACAGGTTTCTGTTTGCCTTCCCCACACTGAAGGGTAGGAGTTGACATATCCTGACCTGAAGAAACATCCCTGTCCCAACAAGCTCTCCCCATGGACCTGGCTGTCAGGGAAGTTGCTGTTCTAGGGAAGGGGGCTAAAACTCACTGCATGCTTAGGGGTCATTGTATAGGCCAGGTCTGTCAGTGTGGCCAAAGTCCTGGGGAATGGTTGCAATCCTACTTTCTGTGTGCCCCATCACCTGGGCAACACAGACTTGGTCATCACTTGTTCATGGTGTCAGAACTGCTCTGTCCAATGGGATGGCCACCTGCTCCTGCTCAGCACCCGAGTATTTCAAACAGCTCACTCACCCTCACCTCCCCTCCCTTCCACCCTGCTCACCCCTCTCTTCCAGCCCCTGCCTGGGCTCCTCACATGTTTTCAGTAGTACAGCTCCCCACCAGTCCAGTTCCCAACTCGCTCTGATGCAAGTGTGGAGAGACACAAGCCTTAATTCAGTCTGGCAGCCGGGAGGTTTAACTCTCCTGAAAGCAGAGCTAAGCTTGCATGAGTAATACCCAGCCACTCAGAGCACTGCTGGGAGACAAGGACTGGGCTGGTGGGGGTGCAAGGCTGCAGTGAGGGGCTGAGGTGATGCAGAAAGCAGCTCAAGCAGAATCAACTTAAAAATGAAAACCCATCCTCCCTTCTACCAGCCATCAGGTCCAGTGTGGCAATGCTGAAGCCCAGGAGCAGCACTGGAAACATCTGTCCTGTGCTCTCTGGCAAGGTGAGCTGGGGCATGCCTGGGTGGGTTGAGGTTTTTGTTTTGTCTTGGGAAGTCTCTGCCAGATGAACTGTACTTAGAGAGCCATGAATAAATTATAGCCCAGCAATGAAGCACTGTCTTCCACAGCTATTCCATGGGGAGGGAGGAGCATTCTTCATTAGAGATGTGGCCAGACAGAGGTTATCAGAGCCACCCTCTGAAGTGAGTCTGTCTCATCACTAGCTATAAAGAGAGCCCCAGGTGACAAGATTTCTCACCTAGGGCACAGATTCACCATCTATTTAAGCATGGTTTTATTATCAGTTTTCCAAGACCATCTGCCACTCCTTCCCCATTCATAATCACATCTGCCATCTCCTTTGGGAGAGCTCTGAGCACACACACACACATGAATACATAGTAAGGGCTATAAGCCATGCATTTGCCCACATGCAAGCAGAGAGCATTGCTACAGCAGCCACCAGGCTGACAGGAATTACACAAGAGGGATATAATTTAGAATGAAGTTTTGTTAAAATATCTAGGGGTTTTGTTCATTCACTTTGTAAGGTTGAGGATTTTTTGTGCATCTTTATACTGATCACTTTTTGTTTGTGGAAGTGAATGCTGTGGCCAAGAGTGGAGTGAGTTAGGTGTGATCCCCATTCAAGGGATTAACTAATCCTCTTGTCCAATTTCCTATACATCACACACACTGTGAAAGACAGAAGGAGGTAGAAATTTCCCTGTTCACTGGGACTCTGTCCAACAGTGGGAGTCTTCTCAGGAAGGGTGTTAGTTGGGCAACTTGCTGACCACCTACATGTAGACAAACCTGATCTGCTCCAGGTTGTGTCACCACAATGACACGATGGCTCCCATACATTCCAGGAGTGCACAGTGCAAGTATGAAAGGCATCCAACACAGACTACAAGGAGAAAAATTCTGGCTGGAAATAATCCCATATTGAAAAAGCAATCAGATGCCCAGAGCAGCATCCCTGGAGCGATTCAGTGACCCTGTGACTTCAGCCAGACTTACCAGGAGAGGGCAGCCAGTGCTTTCTGGGCTGACTACCCCAGAAAATGGGTAGCTGAGCAGGACCTGCTTTGAATTGCTCTGTTGGAAAGCTTGGCCTTGCTTCTGGGCATAGCATCTCAAAAAGTCATGTTCCTCCTTTCCTTTATTGGAGCAGAAAGTGAAGTGACCCAGTTTGGTGCACTACAGAATTGATTTGGTGTCAGATATGTGAAAGCACAGTCAGAGAAGAGAGTCTGCTGTCTTCCCACAAATTTCATTACTCTTCCAGGGCTTCTGCTTCCCTTGAATGTCCAGCTCACAGGCTGAGCTCTCTGAACTGGAGCTGGAGCTCCAGACGGGGGTCCAGGTTGTTGTTTGGGGTGCCCAGCAACATCTCTGGTGAGAAGAATGCAGAAGGAGCTTCCTCAAATGGGGATCTGGCACCTTTCTTATGGACTCGGCATTTCTGATTTCTGGGGATGAAGGAAAAGGGCTGCATCCCCAGGGAATGGGGCAGCTCAGTGCTCATATGGAATGAAAGTGGACAGTCTGCATAGGGGGAAGGTAGCACCAGTCACATTGCCTGGTATGAATTATTGTGGCAATAACTGCTTATTACAATTTCAGGTGACCAATATTGCTTACAGATGACAGGACCTCAGCTGGTAAAGGACCATTATATTTTCTCAGAACAGACATTGACTGGGTAAAATTTCCATGGGTATAGTTTTCCTTTCTCCATAACTCTCAGCTGCTTTTCACTTATTTTACCCAGTTAACAGCTCAGAGAGGATACTGGTGCCAGGCCAGGCCTTCGTTTAATTTAGTCAGTCAGAAGGCTGTGCTTGGGAACAGGACATTATCAGGGACTCATGCCCAGGAGTCTGGGTAGCTTAGGTGTTCCTCTCCATGTCCATACTCTTACTTGATGTGCCTCGCAGCGCAGTGTGGTGGGAAAGCGCTGGTGCCTTGAACAGCGTGTGATGACACTGACCTCTAGTGGGAATAGATCCTTTCCTCTTTAGATTTTCCCTGCAGTTTTAACCATTTTAAGTGATACATATTAAAGGGAACTAGAGAGACCCAAGAACGAGAGCTTCGTTTTTTAAAATCTTCAAAACTAAATCAGAACATCAAGATTTGCCTCATATTATTTAATTATTTGTAATCCCTCTACCACTGTATTCAATACATGATAGATAGATATTTATGCATATGTATATCTCTCTGTATTTAAAGCCTCTGAAAATTATGGAAGTCAAAAACTTGCACAGCCAGGCAGAAAAGCTCTCTCTTAGGAAGACGACATGAAAGGAAGCCAAGCCTTGCAGAATGAGTAACAGAAGGCAAATAACGGGGCAAAGCAGCCAAGTTCCTCTTTCAGACTTTCCAGTAAAATTGTCTGAAAGGTTAATAGAAGCACACCCAGTCGAAGAGAGCTGGCAGAGATGGTGCCTGAGCTGGGTGTTAGTGGGTGTAGTTGAAAGGTCAGAGCAGAGAGTGGTTGGCCATGGATGCCTGGGGTGCATAGCTGATGTCAATGAGGCATGCCTGGTCTCCCCACTCAGCTGCAGTAGACCACAGCAACACAGCCCTGGCACAGCACTAGCCAGCTAAAAGAGTTCAAGACACACCATAAGCAAGCTGCAAGATCACAAACTCCAGATAAATTCCCATCAGCAGCAGAGGAAGGCCACTTCCAGGGGCTACTTGCTAACCAGAGGTGTAAGATTGGACTGTAGAGTCCCTGGTGGTGGGTCTTGAATTGCCTTTTTGCTAGAACTGGTTCAGGGCTTACTATTCCAGGTTCTGTGCTTTGGCTGAACTGTTCCTGGACATGTGCTAGTCCTGGAATCAGGATCCACACCTATTTCCCAACTGGAACAGCACATTGCAATATAATCAAGGCGTTACTGATGCCTGATGAAAAGAGAAGCTGAAACTAGTTCACAGAAAAATTAAATCTTTGTGTATCACCACACAGGTTTGTGTTGATTTGACCACTTTATCCATCGGAAAGTGCACAAGAAGCCATTCCATGATGGAGCTGCATCTAGTATGTTACTAGAGAAAATGGTAAAGGCATTCAGAAAGGCAATTGGTGGATAACCTAGTAGTAGATTCTATTAATTATGTGTGTGGATCAGGAAGAACAGCTACAGGTGGAGCTGGGATGCAGCCATCACCAGGGTGTGAGAGGGACTGACATTGATATATGGTCCAGATCCCCATACCGCACTGGATGGAGCTGACAGATGTCGGAGAAGCTCCTTTCCTTCAGTAATTGTAATCTTGCAGTGACATAGTGCCAGAGACACAACTGGAGACATTGAAATAAATCTTGAGCATGGGAAGAAAACTTGTGACTGGAAGTCATTGATGCCAAAAGAGACTTATCTGTCTCCCTGCTGCTGCCCTCACACCCCAAAACCTTTCTTCCTGCAAACCCAAAGCAACAGCTGCAGTGTGGGATAGGGAACTATTTGTTGCTCTGCATGTGGTTCCTGTGAGTCCATCCAGTATCCATCACCAAGCTCTTCCCAGGTAAGTTTCCTTGCAGGAGATTGTTCCCCTCCTGCTCAGATGAACTGGAAGAATGGGCATCCTGCACAGACAGAAAGTCATCTTGAACAATAAAAGCAAAAAGTGAAACTGATTTTAAAGCATCAGCTGTGTTCAGAGCCATCTAGTTTGTCTTTTGAGGAAAGCCCACTGCTTGGGACACTGGAAAGTAATTACATGACATCTATGCAGATCCATAGGAGTTCTGGCATTGGGAAGAGAGCGCTGAAATGCAGTGTGGTAAATCAATAACAGGCAGTAAGCTGGGCCTTCATTCGATCTTCTATTTTCAGCTTTGATCTCTATATCTTAGCTTTTATTGTGTGAGCCCTGGTAGCTACTCTGGGCTTTGAAAGGATTTCTATTTTCGACACAGAAGGGTGGTGAGTAGTAGCTGGACCAAGAGGCTTGTGCAGCCAGCTACAGTGACCTCCTGGCTTCCCCTGTAAAGGCAGAAGAGATGAGAAGGTGTCTTAGTGAGTGGAACAGTTTAATGTATACACATGGGAAAAGCAAACGCCTTGTTTGCACCTCTGCTACAAGTGACATCCACCACATTGTTTCCCACGGAGCCTGCGGCTTCACTCGGCACCCGCACACGCACCAGCATCCTCACACACGCACCGCCGGGTGGGACAAGGTCCCGCTCCCTCCCCTGGCAGACCTTCCTGCTATTAAAGAACCCAAACCAAGCGGGCAGGTGGTAGGCAGGCCCAGGACAGACAGACAGACAGACTGCCCGGCCTAGGGAAGTGCAGCGTTGCCGCCTCCCTGTCCTGCGCACCCCAGATTCCGGCCCCCGCCTACGCCGCCGCCCTCTCGCTGCTGGTGCTCTCCGCAGACAAGGAGGGCGGGGAAAAGCAGCCCCTCGTTGTGCCGGGGCGGGGCAGGGCGGCGGGGGAATCCCGGGCAGGCGGGCCGGGCGCGGCTGAGTCAGTGCGGGCAGGGGCAGGAGGAGGCGGCGGAGGCGGAGCCGTGGCGCCTTAGATTGTGCGCCGGCCGCCGCTCGGTGGCTTTCCGGCCATGAGCCCCCCGGCAGCGGGGCCGAGAGCGGGACCCGGGCCGGGGCCGGCGGACGGCGGGCGCTGAGCCATGTCGCGGGCGGCGGGCGGCGAGTGCCGCGAGGAAGCGGCGGGCTGGGAGGGCGAGGACGGGCAGTGCGACTCGGGCATCGAGTCGCTGCGCTCGCTGCCGGGCGGCAGGGAGACCCCCGCCGCGCCCGAGGGCCCCCCTGCCGCTCCCGAGGAGACCCTCGCCGAGGCCGCCGCCGCCGAGGAGCGGCTGGATTCCAGCTATAGCTCCGGCGCCCTGCCCGAGGCTCTGCCGGGGGCTCCGGGGGGCCGCCCCGAGGAGCCGCCGCCACGGCCCGAGGAGCTCGGTCGGCAGCAGCTGGCCCTCACCTACCTTTCGGAGGACGGAGACACGTGAGTGACCTTCGGGCAGCTGCGAGCGATTGCCCCCCAGCCCCGGGCTGCTCCCCTTGCAGCGGCGGGGAGCCGAGAGACAAGCCAGGCTGTGTTTGCCGTGGTCTCCAACCCTCTCCCGAGGAGCATCCGCTCAGCCGTGTTGTTAAGGTCTCCCGGGCCCCTGTCCTAAGAGCCTCCCGCCTTGCCTTAGTGTGCGTGGATGCTTGGCATTCCGGTTTGGGTGGATGACCCCCCTCACCCGCCTGAGGTATCTCAGCCACCCTGAGAGGTATCTGAGCCAGGTCCAGCTGAGTGAGCAGGAAGAGAGGCACCCCAGGCTGCCTGGCACAGAACGGACCCATCATGGGAAGCCCACCTCCACTTGCTGTGGGGCTGCTAATAACTAGAAGAAAGGGGAGAGCAAATCAGGCCTCTCCTCTGTCTCTTCCCCAGAGAATGCAACGTTTCCTCCACAATAGGGAAGGCTTGGCTGCATGAGATGGCACATAAGCAAGTCCTGAAACAAGATTAGCTGTGCAGGGCAAGACTTTGCGATGGCTGTGTTAGGCGCTGCTCAACCAAGCAACCCAAGAACTATTTGTTCTCAGGTGGGAATCGCCTTGCTTTGCCAACTTGCCCACAGAGCCATGGCTTTTGGCAGAGCTGTGACGCACACCCCAATGTGTGGCTGCCCTCCTGAGCTTCTGTGACAGAGACAAGTGTTTCTCTTAACAAGGAGGGCTTCCCACATCCGTAATGCCCTCTCAAGGGCAGAGGCATCACGATAGAGTTATTTGGTTTGGCTTCTGGTAATTACCTTCAGGTAATCACAGCATTTTTTCCTGTTGTACATTCCCTCGATGGAAGGTTTTCATCATGAGTGTGCATGCAGTGTGAGCGAAGTGTTCTCACAGCTGAGGGCAAACTTTGCCCCAAAACCAGGCTAGAGTTTAATATTGAGAAGTGGTGCAAGAGGAAGAGAAACTTAGAGGCACTGACATGATCAAGCAAATGTCTTTGATAGTGAGAGCAGCAAGAAAGCTCTGTCCTTGCCTGGCAGAGCACATCTGGGTTGAAGCTGAAGATGAGCTGGGAGACAGCCTGTGTTTACTTCCCTGTTAGGAAGGAATCTCTGCATCTGCTAATTAGTTCATTAATGCTGACTCTGGGATCTGTTCTGAGGGTTGGCTGGAAGTCTCATGGCAAGCTTAAGTTACACTAAACCCAGCCTCCCACACTCCCCAGACAGGCTTTCTAGTCCTGTCCTATCTACAGGCTGGTTCTGTGGCTCCTCAGAATGGAGGAGTTCTGCCAGTTTTCCCAGCTCTAATGCCAGAGCCAAGGTGCCCATGGAGAGAACCAGGTGTCTTTTAATCAGAGCTGTGGAAGTAATGCTTCCCACCATGTTTGTCTGTCATGGTGTGCCTGGGGCTTCTCACTGTTTTATTAGTGAGCCCCACAGATGCAGCTGGTTGGAGATGCTTTTAGTGCTTGAGGCTGTCTTGTTTGGTGCTTGAAGCCCTTTGTCTGTCAGACTTGCTTGGAGAGACCTAATGCAAACATCTTATTAACTAGGAAAATATTAATCAGTGGTGCCTTGGTTACTGTAGGCAGGAGAGGATCTCAGAGGTTGCTTTTGCTCTTCTGTCTTCTCTCACTCCCAGTGCATTTCAGAATAGGAAATCTGTTAAGACGGAGGGAGGGAGCTATAGGTCTGCTGGTTGTGCAGCTCTGGGCTCACCATGGAGGCAGGCTTTCCTGGGATCTACTCCTACTGCTGGGAAAAAAAGCCCCGCTCTTGTGGTTAGAGTGGTGAGGCTGTGGATTTGTGCCTCTGCTATTCTTCTCTCTCCTCCTGACCCTGCGGCAGAGGTAGGTGGCATTTATATTTAGAAGTGCTGAACATCTACCACTCAGGTTGATGCAGATGGGAACTGTGAGCACCCAGGAACTCACTGAACTGCCACCGGTTTTGTATGTGAAGACAAGTCAGGGCTGATAGTAATGCTGAAATCTATGGTGCAATTGCTCATCCAGTGACAAAAGGTCCCCAGAGAGAAGGGATCAGATGGTCACAGGCTACATCCCTTTCATCTGGCCAGACAAACCCATCTTCATTTCTTCTTTTCATCTCTGTCAGCAATGTATTTCCTTGTGTGCCTTTTTTAAATGTCTGCCACAAAACAGCTCCAGGCAGAGAATTAAAATCATACTATCGTTATATTTCAGAAGACTTGGGGAACTACGCTTTCCTGTAATTGTAATTTTGAAAATACAAAAAAGTTCAGGGGTTTTGCCTAACTAGTTCCTGTTTGCCCAGATGCCCTGGCTGGTGCTGAGCTGAGAGGAGCACTGGGCTTACACAAAAGTGAGCTGGCAAAAGTCTTGGCTCTACGTCTGACAAAAATCTTCACTGTCCATAGCTGATTCAGGCTCACCCACCTGTGCCATCTAAAGGTGTGTCTGTGTTTGTCAGCCTGGCACTTGAAGGGTAAAAACAGGAGGTGGAGGCAGAGGTGAAGAGCACGTACTTGGGCAGTTGAAGTGTCAGCAGGATCCTCCTTGGATACTTCCCTGCCTGCCTCCAAAGGAGATGAGCATCAGAGCAAGGCAGGATAAAGCAATGGGTCTAAAACTGTCTCTCCCTGTGCCCAAAGTTAGAAGGAGTCTCACTTTGGCAGGAAGGAAATTGGCTAACAGGAAGGATGGGGGTATAATAGCCAGTGAAATGTGTGGGTGCTGTCTTCCAATAATTATTTGCCCAAATGTCATCTTCTACATGGCTCCCAAGTGCTACTGGCAGCCCCTCTACCTCAGGGAATTCAGAGCCACAGTAATAAGGCACATTAGTCCCCAGGAGAGTGTGGCTCAGCTGTGAGGGCAGGAGAAATCAAGCATGAGGAGTGGGGTGGCAAGCAGAAGATCGTGGGTGCACTTTGGACAGTGATCTGTATCCTGCTTTTTGTGTTGACAGGTAGAGAGGAAACCCTGTGCACTGAAGTTCAAATGGTCTCCTCCAAGAATCCATATTTTCCTTGTGACCTAAAACTCTAAATATCTGTCTCTTCCATGTAAACTAACGCCTTTTCTGCTGATTTGGGTCCTGATGGGACTGCTTTGTGTGGAAGTGAAGAGAGGGGCTTTCCAACTGTGGGCCTGGCTGCCTCTGAGTGGACTGCAGGCAGATTTATTGTTGTGCCCCAGCCTCCAGACCACCTCAGCCTTTGTGAGGATTCATTGAGGAAACCCTGTCCTTCCCATCTTCACCTGGCAGATGCACAGTTCCACCATCCTGGGAAAAGGATGAGTGTGGGACCAGCTCCTTTGAGGTGAAATGGGGTGTGAAGGAATCACCTTGTGTCCCAGCACAAGAGAAAACCTCCCCGTTTCCTTGGGCTGATGTCAGCCTCTGCCAACTCTGGAGAGGCAGAGTTGATTCATGAGTGTGTGAAGTTAAGCAGAGTTTCCTCTCTCTAGGACTGTGTAGTCTATGTTAAACTGCAAACCATGTTTTCCTTCCTACCCATGCTGGTCCTTGGGCCACATGCCACTTTCTGCCATTGTGCCTGATGTCATGGTGATGCAGAGGCTGGGGGCTGCACCTCTGCAGGAGAGTGACTGTCTTCTGCATGGGTCTCTGTATGCAAAGCAGTGCAGCACCTCTGTAGGGGTGAAGGTCGAGGCACCCCAGCTTAATC